GGGGGCAGGGGGGGCAGGGGGTGTTTGGGCGGCCCCGTTTTCTGGCGGTGGGGCTGAGAAGTTGGGAAGGGGTGAGCGAAACGGGGCGGAAAGAGGAGAATTCCAACCCTCTTAGGTGAGGTGTCCCGAGGTGCCAAGGGTGCTGCTTAACCCGGGGGTGTCACAGCCCGGAGGCTGCAGGGAGCTCGGATGAAGCTGCGTTTGTAAATGTTTCTGTTTGTAAAGGCCGAACTGGCTACCAGGGCCTTCAGCAGCAGCTCCTGGTCCCTCCAGGCCTCCTGTGTGTCTGTGTGTGTCTCTCTTCTTTTCTTCCATCCTATTTTTAGCCAATTTGGTGCAAGGCTTGAACTCCCCAGACCCAGCTGTGAGGGAAAAATCCATTGCTGAGACAGAGAAAAGGCTCCAAGATGAAGAAACGAGCCAGGAGGAAGAAAGCAAGACTGTGGTGAACAGAACAGTCATCAACAGACAAGCTTCTGTAAGGGTCTGTTTCCCCCTGAAGCTCAAGCTGTGTTCAGCTCTGGTCCTTACATGGCACCAATTCACATCCCTTGCCCAGAAGGGAAAAAAAAGAAAGAAAAAGAAACTGGACAATTGTTACAAGTTTGTTCTGATTGTGCCTTTATTTTTACAGTGTTTATCTTAATGGGAGGCTCTGGTGTCATGTTGTCCCTGTCTGAAGGTTGCTAAGAACACAGGAGACTTATTTTGGGTTTATCCACGTGCTGAGGTGCCCTCACCTGTAGCTTCTCCCTGCACTTCAGGAGCCTGAGCAGGCCTGGTTGAAGACACAATAAGCCCTTTGTTAGTTTCATGAGGCTTTGATGCCAGCAGAAGGGCTTGGCTTTCAGTGACTTGCCCCATTAAAGATCCAAATGGAAACTTTCTGATCACGTAAAAAATTCCTACATTCCAACCACCCTTTAAGTGTCAATTGGATATTCCCAGTGTGCATCCATCTGGCTGCTTCAGATGCCCTGTAGCTCTGAATACCTTAACCAGGTGCTCCTTTGCAGCTGTGGGGTTTCCTACAAGGTCTCTCTGTACATCCCCGTGTTCTGTTTCTCTTTTGCAGGAGGTGGGAAGTGCAGAGGCAGTGACTGCAGGTAGGACAGTGCTCTCTCTAGTGTTGAGCATCTCTCCACTCTGCTCTAGCAGACAGGGAGTTAAGGGTTGCTGTTATTTCCTGCAAGACCTATTTCCACTCCTGCCAGAGTCAGAGAGAACTTTTCTAGTGACTTTAATCAAAATCCAGTCAGTGTAGGAACCCATTCCTGGGTCTTACCAGTGTGACTGTGCTTGTTCCTGGGTAGGAAGGTTGTTGGTGCAGCTGGTCAGCACATTCTGGCCTCTCATCTAACATGTTAGCATTCTGAATTTAAAAGCAAACAAGTTTTATCTCTAGAGAGAAGCTCCATGGAGGGAAGGGCAGACCCTGAGTGGCAGCAGCTGCTCCTTCATGTTCTGCTTCCACTCATGAAATGTCCCCTGAACATTTTCTTTGTAGAGAAATGACTCACAAATACCTTAGAAATTACTTTTTCCTCATCTTTTAACTTGACTTTAATGAAGCCTGCTCTTTTTTCCCCCCTGGTTTTTCCCTGATGTGCCACCCAAAGATGCTTTCCTGGCAATGCTGGAAAAAGATGCAGAAGAACGAGCTGAACGAAGGAGGAGGAACGAGCACTTAGCAAATGGTAATTGCTGAGGGCTTTGCTGGCCCTTCAAAAACCACTTAGCAGGACCTGGGGCTGATTTAAGAGGCTGTTGAACTTCTCTGTTCTTGCCATTATGCACAATGAGACAGTGCTTGGGTTGTGTGGGAGCAGGGCCACACACTTCACAGGGTTGTTATTCTTCATTCTGTCCTCTCTGGGATAAAAGTCTGGGATGGAGGGACCAAGTTTGAGTCTCTCAGAGCTGGGCAAAGGCAGGTGCTCAGTTTTCCCTCTGGAAAAGGGAAGGGGCACGTGTACACTGAGCAGCTCAGAAGTGCCTTGCAAATCATGGCAAATGAAGTGGAGCTGGACTGGAATGTTGATGATTATTCCAACAGGAGATCATGGCCTGTTTCCTCAGTCACCCCTTGGGGGAATAAAACAACCCAAACGTTGTTATTTAAGAACCCCAAATGTAATTACAAAAAAAAAGCCAAATGTTGTTCTGAATGCCTGATGTTGTTTGGCAGCCCTGAAGGAGGAGGGAAACGTTGCCTTCAGGAAGGGAGACTTTGTCACAGCCATCCAGAGGTACACGGAAGGTCTGGAGAAGCTGAAAGACAAGCAGGAACTCTACACAAACAGAGCACAGGTCAGCACATGGGAATGAGCCACCACTGCTTTTTGGTGCTACTTTGCCAGGAGAGAACCCAAACCAAGTGAATTTCATAGGAAGTCATAGATGTGGTGCTACAGGGGAGCTTCAAAAAGGGAGCAAACAATTCCTCCTGGCTGTCCTCCACTCCCAGCAATTCAGAGTTCATAGGCTTTGGGGTTTGCTTCTGTTTGTGTTTGCTTGGTTTATATTTTTATCTTTTCTTTGGGATCAATTTTTAACTGCAGAATGTTAACACTTGCCCTGCATTCTCTACTTGCTTCATATATTCCACAGGTGTGTATTGAATTTCAGTTTCTTAAATTTATTCTAAGTAACAAACTCTGAGCAGATGGAAGACAAGTTTAGAAGCAACTGGTAATTATCCTGCAGAATCAACAGTGGGCAAATCAACAGTCTGCTTTTATTTATTTTTTCATTAGCTGAGGTTTGCACAGCAGTTGGTGGAAGCTGTTTGAAGGATTCTAATTCTTCTGCCTGGATTCTCCTGGTTCTGTTTCAGGCCCACCTGAAGATGCAGGAGTATGAAAAAGCCCTCAGTGACTGTGAATGGGCATTGAAGGTAACTTATTGTGTTCCTGGCAGAACCAGGCAAAAGACATATGGAAATTCTGTTGCTATAAAATATTATGATAGATTGTGGCTGCAGCCTTAACATCCCCTAATTGCACAGGTTGTAGGGCCTGAAGTGCAGTTTTCTGGGAAGGAATCTCAGCTGTTTTCCACCTTTAACCAGAACAATATTCTTTGCATTGGGAAGGGGAGTTGGTACCTGGAGATGACAAATCAGCATTTAGGCTTCAAATGCCTCTAGGAGATGGTGTAAATACCCTCTGTGCTTGCAGTTATTGTGGGCAGCTGTAGCTGTTCATCAGCAAGCTGGACAAGTATTAAAGGGTTTAAAATTTCTAAACACATAATTAATGATTCCTTTTGTTAACACAGTGCAATGAAAAATGTATTAAAGCCTATTTTCTGATGGGGAAAGCTCACCTGGCACTTCAGCACTATGAGGAGGTAAGTTGACTAAGTCTTGTGGGACCGTGTTTGGTTCTGCTCTTATACAAGGATGTGGGTGGGAGGGAGGAACTGGTGATCTGAAGAATGGGATAAATAACAGTATCCTGAGCCTTTGGGCTTGGGAGAGAGTTGTCTCTTCCCCAGAGAGACAACTGAGTAAAATGTGTTTCACTTTTTTAATCCCAAGCTGCTCAGTGCAGTGGGTGTTATTAAACTGTTGCTGCATGTGCACAAAATGCAGAAAGGGAAGATGAAGGCACCAGGTGCACAAGTCCCTGCTGACAAGTCCCTGCACTTTTGGTCACTGCAACTTTGCTGGTTTGTTCCTGCTGGCACATTCCTGGGGTTGTACTTGACATTTCCCTTTGGCAGAGCAGGCTGATGCAGGCACTGAGAGGAATATCCACCTTACACTTTTAATTAGGAAAGTTTTGACTTGTGTGTCTCATAGATTGTATCTTTCACACTTACTAAGGACTGGAGCCCAAGAGCTCAAACAGGATGACTCTGACTAGGATATAATTTTTACCATCTTCCCATTTTTTAATTCAGAGCCTGTTTCTTTTCTCCATTAAGTCCAGGCAGTGTTACCAGAAGATCTTAGAAATTGACCCCCAAAAGGAAAGCCTGTTCAAAGGTAAGAAATAGGAATTTTTACACTCTTGTCCCTTGTTTTCTGATCGAGATGGAACTGTTCTGCTCCTCAGAACTTTTGGTGGAGTCTCTTCATGTTGGTGTTTCTCATTGTTTCTTCTTGAAGCTGATGGGCTCCCCAGAGCTGAGGGTTGTTCTGTACCTCTGGGAGTGGCTGGCAGTGCTCCCTGGCATCCAGTCCACCTCATTTGTCACTGGAACTACACCACATCACAGCATTTACCCACCCTGCTTTGTCTCCTTTTGATTTCCAAGATTGCATGAATGAGGTAAACTTGGAGGAGAAAAGAAGGCAAGATGAAGAGAGAGCAATGGAGGAAGTTCAGGCTGGAAATCTTGCTGCTCTGTCCATAAAAGAACTGCTGCAGAAACTTGCCAGGCCTGACCAGAGCATCCTCTACTACACAGGAGGGATCAGGCTTCTGGCAGGAGCTGTGAGAGACCGTGAGTACTGGAGGCAAAGCTGCTTGCTCATGGGAGCTGTAATCCAAGTAGATTAACAGTGGAGCAGTTGTTAAAGGAAGAGGAAATTTATTCCTGTGTGTAAAACACAAACACAGCAATGTTTGGTGCTTCAATACTTGTGGCCAGTGGATACTTGCATGTATTCCTTTAGAAGAGGGCTGATGTTGTAGCTGAGCTGTTGAGATTTGGGTCCCTTAGGAGCTGATTAATTAGTTAAGAAATATTTGTAGCTCTGTGAAAGTATTGATTTGGAATCCAGTCTCATGTCTCAGCCTTCCTAAAAAGCCTTTACCTTGAAGTCAGTTTTCTTCACAGCACTGACTGGTCTTGAGCTTCAAAGCTGCTTCTGCTTCAGGCAACATTCTTGGAGCTTTTTCCCTCCTGTAACGATGTTCTTTCCCCAGAGCTGTTGATCCAGTGACCTTTTCTTTTAACACTGTGTTATGGAAGAGCAGGAGTCTCAATGATCCATCAGCCAGATGGATCAGAGAGCTGATTGGTTTATCTCTGCATTTTTCAGGCACTGAACAAACTTTATTTCGGACAAACAATGGGTTCAGTATCCTCAAAGACAACGAGCCTGTCAGACGGTGAGAGCTCTCCAAAGGGCACAGCAGGGGGGTGCAGCAGGAGGAAATGAACAGATTGTTTTCAGGAAACACAATCACTTCTTGAAATGCAGACGAAAGGATCGAAAGATAATGTAATAACAGAGGTTAATGTCTGGATGGGCTGGCAGCACAAACAGGGCTTTCTTGGATGCAGTGAACAGAAGTCATGGATTTCTGCTTCTGTCTCCTGCTCCTGCAGAGCTGTCCTCACTCTCCTGCTGAGAGCAGGTCTGTGAAAAAACCTTCAGATAAAGAACACCTGAAAGCACTTGGTTGCTTTAAGTGTACCTGGCTACACTCCCTGGAGCTTTAGTTGCCATCAGTAAATATTTGGCCATATAGCTCTGTCATGCAACCTGTGAAGCTCTCTAATCCTGTAATGAAGGAAGAGGATCATCTCTGGGGACCTGTACCTTGTGCTGCTGTGATAGTGTGTTTTGATAAAAGAAACAAACCTGACCCGTGTATCCCTGTGTTGCTTCATCAGCTTTGTCTTCAGAGGGATCTGTTGTCTGAGTGTGGATTTGAGTCAGGGTCAGATGGGTGAAGGGAGCAGGGAAGATGTGCAAGAGATGTGATTTGAGAACGTTGCACAAGGGAGTTGGTTCAGAACAGCATGGTTTGGTTGAAGAGGGGAGGAGGGCTGATGTCTGAGGCTGCCAGAGGGACTGCAGAGCCCTCCTGGGGGTTCAGCAGTGTCTTGAGTGTTGGCTCTAAACAGACCCCAGAGGTGAAGCATGTCCAGGTTTGCACGAGGGTTTTACACCCTATTCAGGACTGGATTTATTAGCTGTTTGGTGCTGTGTGAGGCTCTGCAGGGTCTGTGTGTGCTGAGGGTAGAGCAGAGCTGGGAGGTCCCCTGGAAAACAGTTCTGCTACTCCTAAAAATGTTCAACCAATAATTGGGTTTAGAGCTCAGGAGCTTCAGTGTTTGTGAGGCAGATCCTCCTCTCTGGGGGGCTTTGATTTCCCTGGCCAAGGAGCTAATTGTTTGATCTGTCCTTTGCTCTTTTTACAAGCTAACATTTCTAATTTAGGGGCTTCTGTGCAGAGAGAAAAGACACTGCTGAAATGGATCTGTGTGTTGCTCTCCTGTGCCTTTGGCAAGCTGTCTGTGCTGGGAATGGTAAGACTGTGTAATCAGCATTAATCACTGCCAGGGCACCCTTGGTGTGGCCCTGACTGTGTCTGAAACTTGTTTGGCATGAACACCACTTGGATGCAGACCTTGTTGTAACTAAGAAGTTCAACCACCAGTGTATTTGTTGAAGTAATGGAGCTGAGAGAAGGTCAGTGGGTGTTCTGCCTTGCCAAGGCTCTGTAGGAGTGTTATGCAAGATGAACATCAGAGCTAATAAGCACATGAGTGGATGAGCTGAAGACATTTAATCTGTTAAATCAGCACCAGGAGAAAAATGGTAAGAGTAACAGGGGACCCTCTGGGTGTGACATTGCTCTCAGAGCTGCTCTTTTTTCAGAAGAAAATCAGCGTCTGCTTTGGACTGACTCTGGGGTGAGTGCTGAGCTGCCAGAGCTGCTGTCCTCAGGGATACAGGAGATCCAGCAGGAGACACTGGCACTGATTGCTCTTTACTCAGAGAGTGAGGCTGGGAGGAGGCTGCTGCTCAGGCACCACGACCCAACCAAGTAATGAACAAAACTGCACCTCAGAAAAACCTCCTGACTGTTCCACGTGTCTGTCCCTAAGATGTTCACCAGCAGCAAAGCAGCTCATGTGCTGGTGGAATGTTCTAGTGCTGGCAGAAATTTGTGCTTTTGTTAAAACACCAGAGCATCTGGTGCCAAAATATTGTCCTAATGGCAACTGGGTGACTGGGAGTGTTTGGAGGGTCTCGTGTATCTAGCTTGGTCAAAACCCACTGCACACAAAGCAGTTTAAGATCACACATTGTTTCAGGGCACATAAAATGCAATTTTGATCTCTGAGAATTAAACCAAAGCTGACATAATTGTTTGGTGGGGTTTTTTTTGTCATAACAGGTGGCTGCAGCTTTTGATGACATTTGTCAGCAGCCCAGACCCCAGAGCCAGCAGTGCCATGGATGTGCTGTCTGAGTTAGCTCAAGAGGAAAGGTGAGTTACATTTCTTCATTCATTGTTAGAAAGCTGTACTGGGAAATGCACTAAGTGAGCCAGTGATAGAGGCTGTTGGCCTTTTCTGCTGTCAGTTCTGCTGACTGATGTTTGCCTGGTCTTTGTGTTGTTGTGTTGCCTTTATCAGTGATTTTTGTCTAAAGCTTGAAGTGACAAACATCACTTTCTTTATCCCTCAACAGGTTCAAAGCTCAGTGTCATGTCCTGCTTTCCACTGGTGTTTTACCTTTATTCACCCAGTTGCTGGTATGAAAAGATCCCAGTTTCTCTATATCTATGAGGGTGATTTGCAAACATTGGGACAGTTGGGATTGAACATGGGTGAGAGAGATTCTGGAATCCCATTGCCAGAGGGACAGAAACGTGTCTTTGTTGTTTGCTTGCAATTTGTTCTGAAATTGTCCTTCCACTCTTCTCTCCTCAGGCCTCTGCCAGGCTGGTGAACCAGGCAGCCCTGGCCCGTTGTGTTGGCATCATGGGGAGCCTGTGTGCAGATGCAGCCACCCGAGAGCAGCTGGCTGGGAGCAGGGAGTGCTGGCAAGCCTGCCTGGAGCTGCTGGTACTGCCACCTGGCACTGGAACAGGGAGTTCAGCCCTGTCTCCTGTGGAAATGGCACTTGTGTGGCCTCCTTTGTCTGCCTCCTGTTCTTGCTCCCAACCCCTGGCTGAGATCTTTTGGATCTGGTGGCTGGAGAAAGGTCTCCCAGCTGCCTGGTGCTCACACCAGCTGTGCACTGCTGGGTGGGTGAAGGGGAGGAAGTCATCCCTTATTGCTAGTGGCCCCTTTCAGGGTAAGGATGTGGAATGAACTCAGTCCTCAGAAAATAAAGAATTGGGAGCATGAGAAAGGCTCATGGTCACTGCTAAACATCAGGAGTTTGGAGTGTACCAAGGTGAAACCAACCTAAGAACAAAGCTGTATCAAAAAGCCAGTGTTGGCTCTGGTGCTCATAAGGCTTTTCCTTCCCTGAGTTGATGGTGTGTCTGTGTCCCCATCCCAGCAGGCACATGTGAGGCTGAGGAAATGCACATTCTGAGCCTCAGAATTGTTTGCTCTCTTCTCTCTGCACAGGATGAATGCATGGATATCAAAACCCCCCCATACCAGGAGTGTTTGTTTGCAGTGCTGGGCCTAATGATGAACTTGCTGCTTGAATCAAACGAGACCATCCAGGTACATGAGATCTCTGGATATCTACTAGTGGTGTTCTCTTAACCTCTTCCTCAGAGGTTCAGAATTGCTTGAGCAGTCAGAGCATCTCCTTCCCTTGTCACTGTGAATGGGCCTGAAGTCAGGCCATGATAGAGTAGGTGAGGAGGTGAGCATGGAGTCGTGTGACCTTGCAGCCTGCACAGGGAAAAGGAGCCTGACTGTGTGGGATGGATCCACAGCCCTCTGACATCAAGCATGCTGAAGCACTTACAGGCTGCCAGCCTTGGACTCTGCTGCTGTTTAGTCAATTTTTAATTTTGATGGGGGTTTCAGGTACCATCAAGGACAGCTGACAATTTAAGTAAGCTAAAAAGTTAAAAAACTTGCAGCATTTTCTCCTCCACCATCCCCACCCCCATGTACACATATAGTACCTTTCCTCAGTGGTGTAAATGTTTTGTTTGGCATCAGCCTCCAAGGATGGGATATTCTTAGATGCTTGGCACATTCCAAAATCATTTCAAACTAAGGATTCCATCAAGAAGGAAGAATTTCTTAAGTTACCTCTGAGTTCTGGGTGTTGGTAGCTTTACTGCCACGTGTGCCCTGATCTCCTCTGGATTCCTTGTTGTATTTTGTCTGTTAACCCATTTCTTTTCCCCAGCCCTCCCAGCAATCAGCAGGACCTGAGCTCTGCACGTTGTTGTTTCAGGGCCTGGCTGTGGACATCAGCTGCAGGTGCTTGGCTCTCCTCAGGGCTGAGGAAGGCAGGATTGTGACAGTAAGTGGGAGACCTGTGGACTAACAAACTGTTGTATGAGCTGCCCTGAGCTGGACACTTGCACTGCCAACTGCAAGTCTCTCCATTAGGCTTTGAAGCCTAGAAGATTCATCATTATAGTGGCAAAGTAACAATATACCCCTGGTATTCTTCAGGTCTTTCTATTGTGTGAGGCAGTCAGTTCTCAGTGTTCTCTTGGAATCTACTTGAGTGAAGCTCATACAAATAATTTCATCCTCAGGGTGGTTTTCAATATAAAGAATCAATCTGGAAGCAAAGGAGCAAGAACCATCTGGGTGTTTAGCAGCTGTTTCTTTTACAGTTCTTGTATGTGAATCACACCTAGGAGCTGGTGCTCCTGTCAGTGGTGGGTAACTCCCACAGGTAGCAGTTAGTCAAGGCAGGTGGGTAGGAGCAGATGTGGATTCAGTCTGTTCACCTCTCTGAAGTCACATGAACTGTTCTCATCTGTTTTACGGATTACCAGGAGAGCTGGGCTGGTTTCTAGTAGGGATTTGTTTCAATAGATACACACACAGGGAGCTGCCCTGATCTCAGTTTAGTCTCATCTCTCTCTCTCCTCTTTACAAGTTGTGCTGAGCTCAGTTTCCAGGGAGCAATTAAAAAAAAAATCCATGTCCTAAAGATGTTCTTTGTTATATTCCTCTAAATGGCTCCTTTAATTACTTCGGGTTTATTCTGAAACAAACAAACAAAACAAAACAAAACAAAACAAAAACAAAGAAAAAAACCACAAAATCATGTGAAAACTCCTTCAAGGTGTGTTTTTCCCTCCCCCTGTGTCCTGCAGAGAGCCACTGGGCTGCTGAGCCGGGTCCTGCCAACCTCCTCCCCAGCTCAGGAAGAGGCAGTGAGAGGAGGGGTGGTGAAGAAAATGATCAAGTTCTTGAAAGTAAATGCATTTAGCTAAATTCTCTTTTATTTCTGCTTGTGCTGCTCCTTAAGACAGCCACTGCTGCCCCTGTGTTTAGATGTATTATTTTTCTTTGCCCTGGGCAAGACCTGTAACCCTGGGTGTGTTTCTGTGTGTGCTTTGTTCTAACCAAACCTAGGCTGGAGGAGAGAGCACAACCACTTATGCTATAAAGACCCTTTGCATCTGCACCAGGAGCAGCAGACAAGCTCAGGAGGATCTAGTGAAGGCAGATAAAAGTAAGTGACAAGTTCAGCAATTAGAGGCTGAGTGCTAAGATGTCCCCTCTGTGTCACCCAGTTACTTTCTTCCCCTTCTTCTAGAGCAGACCTGAACACTGAGTTTTGCTCTTGCAAGACCTGGGCCATGGTTTTGAGGGATGGTTTCATGGTTTAGCTCCTGAAATCATGCTCAGTGAGCCTTGGCTCTGTGTGTGCATGGAAACAGGTAATGAGCCTGAGCTAGAGAAACTGTAGTAAAATGGCTTGATAGGCTTGTCCAGAGCAAAAAAATACAAGTACTGTGAAAAAAGTGCTTGAAAACTGTAACTGAATTGAGTTGTATTTCCCAAAGATAGTAGCTAAAATAAGAAACTTAATTTTGACATCTGATTTCCAGAGGTTGGGGCTGTTTAGAGCTTCCTTCAAATTGCTTGTGGATATTTGTCCTGGTACTGAAGGGAAATGGATGTGGAGACAGAGTCAAGTTATCAGACCAAGTGTCTCTGGGTTTTTTTAAGTATATTTGCTCTAGTCATATGGTGTAACACTGCTTAGATTACTTTAAAATCCAGGTTCAATTAATGCTAATGTAACTACAACAGAGAACACTGAAGTTTTACCTGAATGGTTGAATCTGTCACAAAACTGTCAGCTCGTGTAGTTTAACTGGAACCCTAAGGATTTCCACTCATTAAAAGCCTCTCAGAGCATCATCTTCCTTTTGTACACCCCAGATGAGTTTCACTGTCATCTGTACATGAAGCTTTCCTTTCCTCAAAGCAGCAGGAACTCTTCACTCTTGTGCTTCCCACCAAAACTCTGAGGATTCATCTTGTGAGGAGTCACTGCTTCTTATTTCTGTCACCTCTGTTTGCCAACCCAGACATTCCCTGGTTACTGGGAGCCTGCTGGAATCAAGCTAGAGTCCCATGACATTCCATTGCATTCCAGCTGGGCTACCCAGTTGAGCTTCTGCACCAGCCACTCCTGCTGCCTGGAGCAGCATCACCTCTTCAGAAGGTGTTATTGCAGCAGAAAAGGTGGGAGGTGATTTGGAAAAACTGATGGAGCCATGAAAGAAAACCCCAAGGAAACCTGTATGTGACAGCCAGGGCTGTATTTTATTTAGAAAAGGGTTTCTCTAAAAGTTTCCAGGTTCTGTGGCCTGAGATGCTGCTCCTTGCAGAGCTGCACAGCTCCAGGGCAAGGGCATAAGGAAAACACTCTGCTGCTCTACAGTAGGGTACAGCAGGAGCTGAGCTGAGCTGTTCTGTGTTAGCTAAGGATATCTGGAAAGCTTTTTCATGTTCCTTTTTTCAGCTGTTCTTTCCACAACAGCACTTCAGTCCTAACACATTTATCTTGGCTCTCTACGTGCTCTGCTCTGTGCTTGCCCTGCTGGTGTGCTGGGCTGAGAGGCCAGTGCAGGACCCTGCCAGCAACAAAGGTGGCATGTGCAGCTTCAGAGAAGTATCAACCAAATGCAGACACAAGCTCCATGCTAGAGAACCCCTCAGAGTGTAGATTCAGTCTTGTGAGAAAGACACCTTGGCTCAGGTGAGGCTGAGACAGTGTCTTGGATCCTGAACCTTGCCATGAAATTCCCTTGCTCCTCCAGGTGTTCTAGAAAAATTCCCAATGTGGAGCAGTGTTCCCTCTCTGGGAGTTTAGGTGAAGATGGGAGGAAATCTCAGTGTTACTTGTACAAATCTGTGTTCTTTCAAACTCCTTCTCCCAGGGTTCCATGTGCTGCTGAAGCTCCTGGAGTCAGAGAATGAGCTGATTGTGGGAAATGCAGCTTTTTGCCTTGCCCAGTGCCTGGCAGTCCCTGGAGCAGCAACATCCTTACTCAGTTCCAGCGTGGTGAGGACTCTGCTGAGACATGCTGGTGGTGATGCTGCAAGAACTTCAGTGCAGGAGAATGCAGCAATTGCTCTGGGCAAGCTCTGTGTTGCTGAGCCAAGGTATTGTGAGAGAGACTCTTGTTCTCCTGCACCATCTGTTGTTACTAGGTGATAATTCTTGAAAGCCTGACCAGTGTTAGTTGATTCTACTCGTAGAGCTGTAATTATTGCATGAAATCCATGCCACTCCAAGCAGAACCCCCACTCGTGGCACTGTGCCCACAGTTCCTGTGGTGCTGTCTGTCTGAATGTGTTTCCAGGAGCTGATTTTCCATTGCTCTCTGATGGTCCCTGTGCTGGGAGCATGGGAGGAGCAGGAGGGATCAGTTGGTAGGGTCAGAGCAATCATGAGAGCAAACCAGAAGTATAAATGTCAGCCAGGAGTGGCTGCTGCTGCCTGCTGAGGGTTTCCCAAGCTCTAGCTAGCTGCAGCCTGCCAGCTGGACCTGGAACTGTGCTCCAGGCAGGAACTGGGTTCAACTTGTGAATGCACATCCTGAACCACTGCAGGCAGCAAGGGGTGATGCTTGGGCCCCAAAAGCTGACTTTGCTTCTGTTGGAGATGCCAGCTGAGCAAGAGAGAAAGTGTCTGCTCTGAGATGTGCACAACACTCCACAGATGCAAAAGGGAAGCACCTTGTTGTCTTAGATTTGTTCATGTGAAATGCAACAGTTTTCAGAACTTTTTTGGTGGGGAATAGAAATCTAGAAGCTGTTTCTCATGCTGCTCCAGGAGGAATTTATTGAATGTAACATTTAAACAGCCTGGGTGGTTTGGGCTTGGGGTAGAGCAGAGCAGTGGAAGCTGAGAAGTTTTATGGCTAATGACCTGGCATTCCCAGCAACCTTCCTGTTGTCCTTCCAGGCACCTTGTTCAGCTGCGGAAGCTGAACGGCCTGGCCATCCTCAGCTCCTCCATGAAGCACGTGCAGGGCATCTGAAGGCTTCAGGAGAGCTTCAAAACCTGCTGTTGAAGGTCTCTTCTTCAATAAAACTAATTCAAAGTTCATCAACTTCTCGGCCCCTTTTCAAAGTGTTGGCTGCTCCTCCCATAGCAGCGTCAGGAGGAAGAAGTTAATTTATTATCTTGGCTAACAAATAAAATAACAGCTTGCATTGAGCTTGGTTTTGCTTTGATAGATGGTGTTGCCCTTTCTCTGCTGGTGAGTTCCTTGCTGGTTAATCACTGACCAATGCCTTGTCTAGTCTGCTTGAACATTTGGGTCCAGTATCCACTATTAGAAGAAAACAGGAACAAATTGTGAGTTGTGCCTTTGAAGAATCTGTTGCTGTGATACAGACCTGGCCTCACTACCAGCTGGGGAAAGACAAGACCAGGCAATGGTTAAGACTCCCAACCAGAGCAAGAAGCAGACACACAACTTGGAGATGTGGAACTTCTGGAAATGGAGCCTTCTTGAAAGTGTCTAAGGTGACAAAGGCCTGTGTGCTGGTGTGAGGTGGGGCCCTGTGTGCCAGGGGCTGCACAAATGCCCATCAGGAGACTTTTCTTTCCCAAACAACTCCCAGTGTGGGAAAAAGCTGAAGTGACCTGACCTTGGTTACCACATTCAGGTGAGGGACATGGCTGGGACTGGAAATGGCATCTGTCAGCACCTAATCTGGTGTCATATCTACTAGACCACACTTTATCAGCTTGCTGAAGGATGGATAATGGTTCATTGTTATTTCCCTGAGGAGCAACCACCTCGTCCTGGGTGTCTTTTGCACTGCTTTTCTGAGCTGTCATTATGCTGCTTATCTGACTCCAGCCCATCTTTGTGCTGCACTCACAGCAGGCAGGGCTATGGCAGAATGTTCCCTCTTAGCTCCTCAACCTGCTTTGCTCTGAATTTCCTGTCCCCAGGAGCTTTGCTCACTATCAGTGTGTGCAGGGGCTCTGCAAACACGCCTGGTGTGTCCTGCTCCCTGTCTGCTGCTGGAGGTTTGCAAGGACACTGGGGCCTTGTGGTTAAAGGTAAAAGGGATGTCACTGCCCCCTTGCCTGGGAAGCCTCTGGTGTCTTCTTTGGTACTTCAGACAGTTCACATTGTGTGCTTGTGAAGTGTCTGTTGTGCTTGTTCTCTCACCCATCCCTGCCTCACCAAAATGTCCAGGTGGCTGAGCCAGAGGGGGTTGCTGTGCAGTGTGTTCACTTCTCTCTGCAGCTCCTGCATTAAGGACACACTTTGTCAACACTTGGAGGCCTGGGGAAGAAGGGATCCAGCAGGTTTCTGGGATGGATCATCCCACTGATGCAATGAGAGAAGCTGCAGCCCCAGCAGCCTTTCTCTGTGGACCAACCCTACCCAGAGGGTCATAGGGAGAGAATGTCCATCTTATTTGGGCTGACAGAGCCCAGGACCAACAGAAATGGGTTGCTTCAGTGAAGCATCTCCATCTGGGACTGATCCCTGTGTACATTTGTCTCAGCACAAAATGGCAAAACCTTCTGGCCCTTCATGGGTAGGTAGAACAACCATGGTCATGGTGGAGACCAGTGAGGTGACCCCTCAGCTTTTCTCTAGATGAGACCAGCCCGAGGTCCTCAGCTGCTGCTCACAGGACATTCCTCCCAGCCCTCTCACCAGTTTGCTGCCATCCTCTGCAGACATGTAAGTGCCTTAATGTTCTTCTGAACTGGTGGGGCCCAGAACTGCCCTCAGTGCTCCAGGCAGCATTTTAACCCATTTTAACTCTTTCTCCAGAGATGAAGAGCTGCCTTGCATGGGCAGCCTCTCATGCTTGCAGTCAGGTTTTCCATCTTTGCCATGCACATGAACACACTCTCTCCTTTTGTTAAAAATCTATTGATTCCAATTGGTGCAGGCTTTTTTTTTTCTATTTTTGGGACAGATAATTGGTCACTGTCTGGTCTAAGCTCTTATAAAGTAACCCAATACTCTGCCCTTCCAGGACAAACACAGCCAGTGCCCATTGCTAAGAAGCAGCAGAGACTCCTTAGCAATTTGTTTCCTCTCTGAATATATGGTTGTTGGGGTGACTCAGGAGCTGCTTCACAAGATGCAGGAAAAAATCCCCATTTTTATTCTGATGGCAGCTGGACTGTTGGATGTGGCTGGTGAGTGATGGTTTTGTTCTAGTCTCACTTGCTGTTGTCCTGCCTTCTTTTCCTTCACTACCCCTGCACAGAAAAATGATGCTAAATATTGTGCCATCAGGCTCTGGTGTTTCAACCACGGGATGAAAGAGCAGCTTCTGTCTGTTTGTGGTGCTGTGCTCTAAGATGTGGTGGAAATGGTTCCTGTGGTGGGAGATCCCTGCATCAGGACTGGGTTGTGCTGCGTGGCCAGCTCAGGGACTGTGCATTCCCCAAGGGATGTGTCCTCTCCTTCACCTGGGGGAGAGCAAATGACAATTAGTGCCACTTTCCAGTGAGCAGGTCCCCAGCAGAAGTGAGGAGCAAACTCAGGTCCTCTGAAGCCCTGCTCAGAAGACACTTTCTTTATCACCTTAGGCACGGGCTCCCCTCCTCACCCTGCAGTGACACACTCTTCTGCATTTGCTTTGGGAACTGTCCTGTCAAATATTTGGGACTGTGTGAAATCAGTGCTGGGTCTGTGATGCTGTCCTGCCCCCAGGGAGCTCCTGGGGCTGCAGGGAACCAGGCAGGCTTTGCTCTTTGCCTCTTGCTGGGGGGCTGTGAGCAGACCCTGCGGGTGCACCCCGGCTCACCTGGCCAAGGAAGCAGTTGTGTCTTCAGGCAGGCTGTTCTCTTCAGTAAATATAAGCTTGGGAGGGTGGGGTCAAAGAATTGTCCACCAAATTAATAATTCTATGATTTTCAGGGGGGGTGTGTTGTTTTTTGTTTGTTGTGGTTTTCTAAATGACCCCATCCCCCTGCAAGGTGTATTTGTGTGTGTTTGCTCCACTTCCTTTATACAGGACCTTGATTCAGTGCTTGTGTCTGTGGAAAGAAGGTTACAATTAGTGCCACTTTCCAGTGAGCAGGTCCCCAGCAGAAGTGAGGAGCAAACTCAGGTCCTCTGAAGCCCTGCTCAGAAGACACTTTCTTTATCACCTTAGGCACGGGCTCCCCTCCTCACCCTGCAGTGACACACTCTTCTGCATTTGCTTTGGGAACTGTCCTGTCAAATATTTGGGACTGTGTGAAATCAGTGCTGGGTCTGTGATGCTGTCCTGCCCCCAGGGAGCTCCTGGGGCTGCAGGGAACCAGGCAGGCTTTGCTCTTTGCCTCTTGCTGGGGGGCTGTGAGCAGACCCTGCGGGTGCACCCCGGCTCACCTGGCCAAGGAAGCAGTTGTGTCTTCAGGCAGGCTGTTCTCTTCAGTAAATATAAGCTTGGGAGGGTGGGGTCAAAGAATTGTCCACCAAATTAATAATTCTATGATTTTCAGGGGGGGTGTGTTGTTTTTTGTTTGTTGTGGTTTTCTAAATGACCCCATCCCCCTGCAAGGTGTATTTGTGTGTGTTTGCTCCACTTCCTTTATACAGGACCTTGATTCAGTGCTTGTGTCTGTGGAAAGAAGGTTTGTGTTGCTTTGCTGAGTTTGGGCTAAACCTTGGGAGCTCAGGTTGTGGACACAAACAGCTTTGCTGGTGAAGCCCTGCCAGCCTGTCCTCAGCCTGGGCTTTCATCCTCCTGCCACCTTCACCTGCCACTTGTATCGTTGTGCAATTAATCAGGGGGCTCCTCTGGCTGGTTAACGCTTTGCATCGGGGTGGCAGGAGTATGAGGTGTCAGAGGCCAGTGGGTATGAGCAGCAGAGGGTCAGGTTTGGAGCAGCTGGCTCTGCTGGCAGTGCCAGAGCTGCCCACCCGCCCCGCCGAGCGGGACCTGCTGCAGCTGCTGGGAGTTCCCCTACAGCTGAATAGGTAAAGGGCTTCTTCTCTCTTCATCAGGTGCCTCCTGGAATGAACATCATGTCAGTGAAGTTTCAGACCTGAGCCTTCCTGGAGAAGCTCAACCAAGAGCTGAGAGCAGCCCCGTGCCCAGCGAAGTGTTTCCTGTTACAGAAGAAAACCCAGAGGAGGTGACCTTTCCTTTTCAGAGTCCAGCAGTGGATCCTGCTGCTGAGCTGACAGCTGACTCAATTCCTGTCCATACAGAGGCAGCTGCAAGAAGAACAGCCACACTGCCTGAGGACTCAGTGAGAAACTTGGAGGTGCCTGAGCAACTGCACAGGGAAACAGCAGCTTTAAAGCTCCAGGGTGGACACACGGTTCCTGGGAAGCTCCTGAGCAGCATAAGCATCCCTGTCTCCACACAAGGAGCACAGGCTGCCACCCATCTGGAACAGCCAGACAGGTCACTGCAAGGAAAACCAGGAAATGTGACCCAGGCTGGTTCCAGTCCTACCAGCTCTGGTGCTGGGCTGCCCCAGCCCCTTCCCAGTGCAGGGATCCATCAAGCCTCCCCTGAGGTCACATCTCTCTCTTCCATTCCTGATACCAAGCAGATGGAGGAGCCAAGTCCTAAAACATCTCTTCTGACTTCAACAGTAAATATTCACCCTCCAGGAAGAGAAACAGCAGCATCTCCATTTCCCACCAGAGTCAGGATTGCTCTTGAAAGCACCAGGGTGGGTTGGTTCCCACCAGCAACGACCCCCACTAGCCAAGGGCCAAAGGACACAAACCCACAAGCCCAGCCTGACAGCAAAGCTGGTGTGACACCTGCACACCTGAAGAAGACCCAGAGTATGGATGCTACAGTTACAACTCCTGCATTCCTACAGAAGCCAACTTCAGGGGACCTGGGTGCAGTCTATTCCAGACCAACACTTGCCAGTGCTGTTCAGTTTTCCCCTATTCCAACTCTGAAGCAAGAAACAACAGGCAGTCAAGCCAGAAACTCCACAACAGCTGCAAGAAACGGTTCTGGACTCCCAGCCCAGTTGCCTGCTCTTCAGACACTCCCACAAGGACACGTACATTCCTCTTCATTGTTGATGCATGTG